TAAAATAATTGTAAGTTCTTTACTTTTTAGTAATTTATTTATTGGATTAAAATTTAAGTAAGTTAAATTATTTTGCTAATAACATTTTATAGACATCATTATGCGTTTTAAATTATTAAAAATATTAATTACCACAGATAGAAAAATATAATAGATATACTGCTTCAAAAAAAGTTAATTTTCCTTCCCACTATATTAATTTAACTAGTAATTCTATAATTGAAATATTAATATTCACATTAACTTTTTAGTTTGATATAATCTAATGAATGCCGATTCTATATTAAGATAAAAATGAAAAGCAATTTTAAAAGTTACTTGTTCTAAACAGCGATACTCTGTATGTGAAACATCGTAATAGCATACAGGATTTATTTTAAGATATTTAAATTTTCATAATATTTTTGGTACCAATATTTCAGATGTAATAATGACTAAATATAGAGAACTATATTTATGGGAAATTTTAGATATAATTATATTAAAACGAAACTGTCATCATAACAGAGTACCCCAGTACCCCCTTAATAGCGGTACTCATTAATTTTTCTTCGATTCATTTTTATTAAGCCTAATCACATTTTTTTATGTTTTCCTACGTTACCGTCAAATGTATATTATAAACCTAATCTATACTGTACCATGCTGCATATGTACGCTGACAACAGGAAACGTTTACAAGTGAAAATTATATTTTCCTATTTTAGCAATTATGAGATGTGCATCAGTTTTAAACGAGAACCACTGAAATTGCCTCAATTTTCAAAACAAAATGTACCTACCACCACAAAGCAATTTATTATAGGGAAATTGTACCTCAAATGAAATTCTGCTAGTTATTTGCCTTGCACTGCAAAAAGAGAAATATTGGATCAAATGAAAATGCTGTGTGTAAATGCATTATTCTGTGTAGACTCTCAAAACATATTTTTGTTGTATTAAGCAGCACAATAAAAGGCATTTCTACTGCGAGATACTTGTATTTTTAATCAATTTCTAACCATTATTAACAAAATTTAAAAATACTTTATTATACAAACATTTGACAAAACAAGTTATTAAACTATAATTTTGTATTCGCATTACATTAATAAAACCGTTTAAAAATTAAGTAGGTAATACATTTACCCGAAAAATTAGAGTACTTAACCGAAAATTAATATATTTTTGTTTTGTTATTTTTGAAATAAAAAATTTATTTTTTGATGTAGTCCTAAAAATAAAAGTCCATTGAATCTAAATCAGGACTACGAGATGGTCATGGGCTGTAGCTGCCTCTTCCCTATTATGGATTGGGAAAAACAGTTTTCAGGTGATTCCGAACTTCCATCAAATAATGAGCCGGGGCTACATCACATAAAAAAACAAGATTTTAAAAACGCTAAATATGAATTTCGAATTATCGACTAAAAAATAAATATGCTTTTTTTTATTTCTAGGTACTTGTTATTTGCATTGCAAAATTAAACCTCTTTTTTTCTCAAGCGGTGTCCACTAAGAACACGTTTTATTTTACATGTCTACTGTATGTCGAAGTATGTCGAAGGTAGCGCCACTTAAAAAATATGGAAAAAACACTAATCAAATTTGAATTCCACATAACGACAAACTCCCGTAGACCGAATTTGATCAAATATCTACTGTGTCAAAAGACAATGAGGGAAAACGGTTTTTGTTTCACCTTTGATTTTTTTTTTGCACTAAGACAAGTCGGCCTATTTTAACTCCGGGTACCTCTCATTGCGATACGGCCCATTCACTACAGAACACCCTGAATAAATGACTACAAAAGTTATTCGAAAAGTTATTCCTGGGTAGCAATAAATTTTTCAGTTTCAATTTTCTTTCATGCATTATGTACATAAAATGTTGTTAATATAAAGATTTGTTTAGAAAATTTTTAAATATACATTACCTACTTTACTTTTTTTGAAAATGTTGGCAGTCTGTAGGTTGTAAACTTTTTGCTGAAACAATTAGTTTCTTTTAAGAACTATTGGGAAGACCCTTATCCCTTCAGAAATGCAGGACATTGAATGTGGGAGAGTTATATTACTCGCCCTCCACCTATCACAGAAAATGTCAAATAAAGTACAAAGTACTTACCTAATTATTAATTAGATGAGCAAGTAACACGACACCTTAATTTTACCCTGTCAGTATGACACATTAATTACAACCTACGTGTGATTTGTCCTGTGTAATTGTGTTTACGTTTTTAATTAAGTCCGTAACCCTTAATTGGTATTGAAAATTACATCGACGTTACCAGTGACAAAGCAGACTATTACACTTTGGTTTGCTTTGGCATTAGCGTAGCTACGCTACCGCGTCTTGATTAAATACTGCAAGGTATTTCTCTAGAAACATAATACCCTATTTAGATTCAAACTCGGTATAAACTAGGCTCCAAACAGATTTAAGTATCTGTTTAAAATAGGGCTCATTGAATATTCATGCATAGAGAGGTACTTAGTTAAGAAATACGACGCGGACAGATACCTAAGAATAATGCATTATTATGAAGATATTTCACGGGGAAAAACTGTCAACGAAAAGAGAAATGAAACTTTCGAATTAATCTAGAAATTGTTTTAAGTTTCAATTGAAATAAAAGTTTCCAGTTGAATAAATATGGTGATCAGGATCCTATTCAAAACGCGTTACATGCTTTTTATTATTTTATAATAGACAGCACAATATGGAATAAACAGAATTAAGTTTCCTACCTCCTAGAATGAAATATATCTGGTGTCAAATTTAAAATAACAGAATTACTAAACTCCAAGTTGAAAAAGGTGTACAGGGTGATTCAGATTTTATTCGAAAAAATTAGGTGAATAAATCTGATACACCAAAGAAGAAAGAACATGTCACTATAAACAACTTTTTTAAAACCATTTGTACGCCACTGGAAAACTGGTCGACTAGATTGAGGAAAGAACTCGTATCTACTGAGCAGTAGCTTAACTTAGTTTAATTTTAACACCCAATAGTTTACAGACAGTGACCAATTTAATTCCGCATACTTTAATGTTATAAAATGTAGTTTTAGTAATTATTATTGAATTAAATAATTTATGTGCCATTTACAAAGCACTACACTATACTACATGGAATAATTAACTAAACTAATATATAATTTAAAAATTTGATCCACTACACATATTTAGCATTAATTAATTAAATTCTACTACTAAATAATTTAAACAAATAATTGTTAGTATTCAACATACGATAGATACATTACTGTACATAAGACAGGCACCTTGTTATAAAAACTTAAAAACAATGACAGAAATTTCAAGTTTTTGTCGGACAGTCTTAAATACAATCGTCCATTCGTCATTCATAAAATGAATCAGTCAGTTAGTTTTTGCTTTTCAATTGATAAGATGGTATAAAAAATATGTCACTACCCAGCTTGCAACGTATTGCTACGTTTTTGATGATAAATTTTAAAATAAAACCAATACTGACGGCGTCATCCTACTCCGCAGTGGTAGAAGTCTCCGTCTTAAACGATGAAATATTTGTTAAATTACTCTGTGAAATATTGTCGTAATCCAGCCAAGAGGCATACGTCCGAGGGAACCCAATTTACACTCCACGAGAAATAGAAAGCGCGGCGCAACTAAGTTTTCAAAAAATGTTCGCCGAAGTTCCTAAGAAGCCCCCTACCGCCTCCAAACATCAAAGCCGCAGCAAACATAACCACCGAAGGCCGATGCCGACAGTGCAGCAGCGTTGCCAAAATGGAAAATTCACCCCAGTTTCGATGTTTGGAAACTCAAAAGCTCTTCAAATATTACAAAATTGAATCTGAGAACTGCAAGACAAAACCAAAGTAGCACGTCAGTCCTTCATAAACTCATCAAAGATGGGTAAAATCCAGAGATACCAATTGTCCAAACTTAAGGCGGACTTCGCTGCAGGGTTTCTGCGGACCCATCAAGAACTGTGATCGAATGTCGACTGATGTTTTGCCGTACCGAACCTGGCACCTAGTAAGTTTTAAATTATTACCATTTTGCATCGTATAATACCTATAGCAGATCAGTAACCAAATGCCCGTTTGTTATAAATAACATATTTTTATCAATAAATCTATTTTTAATAATTGAAAACCTTGTTAAATTAATTTTCATAATTTTTTTGCATGTTGCCCTCGGCTTAGACCTCAGTTCTAGCATCTCATTCACCCAGATATTATGCAATTATCCAGTGAAGATCCCAAGGGATAAAAACCGCTCCTAGCAGCTACATTCATAGATTCTCTAAACAAGAAGCTGCCATATTTCTGGTATTCTCACAAGACCTCGAAATCAGTGCTCGGCAACGAAGTAAAACCTAAAAAAGACAGTGATATTGACACTAGAGTAACAATTAGAGTGGAAGAAGACAACTAAAGAAATTAGATCGTGTCGCACATATCTTGAAATCTACCCATACCCCAAATGGGTGGTGATTCCATTAAAAATACCGGTTCTCCTCATATCAGGGGTAATTTTCGCGTAAACTATGGTGGAAGACAACAATATCTTATGATATATGTAACTTTGAAAACAAATAAACAAAAAAGTATAAACCATTAAAACTAATTAAAAATGCGTGACAATAACGATGTGTATTTTTTATTTGCCTGCTTTATCTATGTGTAATTTTTTATTACAAAACTACATAAAAATAACCCTTGATTGCTCTTTCCAATAGCAGTGGCCATATACCCAAATAAATAGAGAAACAACTAAAATTGTGTAACAAATAAGTAACTTCAGACAATATAGAAATGAATTATGGTACATAATAATAAATAGAGAAACAACGAAAAATTGTGTGACAAATAAGTAATTTCAGACAATATAAAAGTGAATTATGGTACCCGTAACATAAAAATAAATGATATTCTAAATTCTACCGAAGGCGCCAGTTATAGTCCACACTTTGTTTTGTTGTGTTAACAAACAACATCTCCTTTGACAATACATTTTTCTTTTCAGGTGTATGTTATGCAGAATTTGGTGTCAGAGTGCCTCACACGACAGGGTCAGCTTATATGTACTCCTACGTAACCGTGGGTGAATTCGTAGCCTTTGTCATAGGATGGAATATGATATTAGAGTATCTCATAGGCACTAGCGCGTGCGCGTGCGCGCTCAGCGCCTGCTTCGATGCCTTGGCGAACGGAGCGATATCCGGAGCCATCCACGAGAGCGTCGGCAAAACGATAGGTAAGTCAAACTAATAGACTTCTAAACGTTATTAAAGACTCCATCCAAGGATTGGTTTATGGAACATCGATATATTTCGTCGATATGTCGTACTCTATTTATCGAATGGCTAATGGCCAAACACGTTGGATAAAATGACAGGCGATCTCGGATCATATAATTATCGCTTGTATTATATTGCGCAGATAAGCTGCGCACCGCGTGCAGTTTACTTTTCCACAATCTGTGCATTCGAAGGGACCACTGACGTCCAATTCCCAAACAATTTTAATTGCTCAGAAATTACCACATACGGACATATAAACCTATCGCACATCGTGTTTGATTAAGCCCACCGTGAATGGAACCTTTTATAGGCCAGGAAATACAGAATTATACGCGACTTTTTGTTTCGGCAAGCTGAATTTATACAGACTGAGTTACAGACTGTCAAATATATTATTTTCAAGAGTTGACTGTTGACAATATTTCTTATGCACTTAACATACCTACTTCCACAAATTAAATATTTTTACCTGGGAAAGTACTCGAGTTGCCGGTTATGACAGTTTTTTTTTGCCGCTACCAACCTAATTTGTTTAACAATGGACCGTCAATTTTTTTTAACTTAAATCTCTTTTCATAAGCTTTCCAAATATATAATAATATATAACTATATCACGCTCGTGCGTCGTATATTTCATTTTGAAACTAAGGCTAAAAAATAAAAAAAAAATCTAGATTGCAAATTTGAAATTAAAAAAAAATGATAGATTTCATTGTATTATTATGAAATCTACCATGAAAAAAATCAGTGCGATTGTGGAAGATCCTCGGGATCGTCCAGACTAATAATTAGTTAATTTCTTTATAAGGCCACAACTTGTAAACTATGCAACTTACCGATTCCAGATTTCGTGTGAGTTCTTAGAAAGTGATAAGGAATGAGATGATACGATGCCAAAACGTTCTGGTAATAATAACGCAATTTATAAATGTTTAATTCAAAAGTCATAAATAAACTTCTTTTGTTTATAACTTTTGATTTAATCAATATTTTTTGACGCTCGACGGCTAGTTTTGTAGGTCTTTTGAAGACGAAAAAAAAAGTACCTTACTTTTTTCTCGTGGAAATGAACGGAAAAAGTTATAAGCGAAAAACTTGAATTTACGTAAAAATTATACAATTAACCACCATGTAAACAATCTTCCCCCCATTTTTATGACTGTGGAAACTAATATGTTATTGTACATAATATTTAGCATCTATAGTGATAAATTCAGCTTACCGAAACAAAAAGTCGCGAAATGGTCATTTTCCAGCTTTTTTCCTGGTCTATTTAGTTAATAAGAACATACATTACAGGATATCCCAGAACTAGCAGATAATTTGGGAGCTGATGCTAGTAATAAAAATAGTGATATAAGCTCCTATTACTCATAATTTAGGGAATTTGGATAACTTTGCTTTCAGTTAAGCGATTTTTTGCCAAATTTGACACATCGTAGCTATGAAAAAAATAAAATAAAATTTAAGTAAATTAAAAAATATATCGTTAAAAATCTAACAAAAGAAAACCTTGTTGTTCCAAATCGTGATTATTTCCGAAAAAACACATTTACCCAGAATATGGATTTATTTCAGCTATTTATACTTACAAAGGAGTAATAGACAGCACCATCATACGTCGATCATATATTCGTGAAAACAAAGAACGTATAGATTCAGTTGTATTTGTTATTTGGAAACTAAATGTAACAGACGACACACCATTTTCCTACTCTTATCAGGTAGAAATTTTCTAATGTTCCTTCATCGGAACCTGAACAAAACTAAAATATACCGGCTATACGTATATTAATTAGAGAAAACTAAATGTTGTTTTACAAAATGAAAAGTGGATTTGTTTATTAACAAAATAAAACAATGTATTAATACTAGTAGTCCAGGAGAACTACACTGTTGCTTGACGTAGATTAGTTATTAGTAAAAATCGCTCGAAAATAATACTTATACAGGGTGTTCTGAACGTCCGTCAGGAAACTTCGGGAGATGATTCTACCGATTAAAAATAATAGCAGTATGTAATTATTTTTTTTTAACCAGTCAGAGAAAAGTTTCAAAATCCGCTGCTAGAGAGCACTTTACCTCGAACGCAAAATTTGTTTCGTTCATAACTTTTTTCTCTTGCTAGACATCACAGAAATTTAAACATTATTGAAAAGAGAAACAATATCAGAAAAAATTATGTACTCTTTATTCAAACCGATAAATGTAACTGTTTACCAGGAAATCGCTATTAATGTGTTATTAAACACCAATTTTTTTATAATTGTTTCTGTAATTAATCAAGCTCACATGGTTCAAATAAATGTCATTAGTAATTTTGAGGTTATGAATTGTAACAAAAATTGTTTAAAGTAGGTATGAGTTTGATTTTTCAGCATAATATTTTTTTTTCGGCTCTGTAATAGCATTGTGGAAAAATAAGACGAGGATAAGAAATTTACTAATAATATTTTATTTACTAACAAGAGAAGGTATTACAGCATGGCAACTTGATTAACTGCAGAATGAATTACCAATTTGATGTTGAATAACACTTTATTAGCGATTTCCTGCTAAACGGTTAAATTTATCAGCTTCAATAGAGCGTACATATTTTTTTCTGATATTGTTTCTCTTTTCAATAATATTTAAATTTCTGAGATACCTTGCAAGAAAAAAATTATGAACAAAACAAATTTTGCGTCCTAGGTACAGAGTGACCTCTAGCGGAGCATAATGAAACTTCTCTGTCTGGTCCAACAGAGATTCATCTACTTAATGGGTGTGCCAAAGAAAAGACTAATCCAACTTGAATTAAATAAGTTATTTAAATAAAACAATTAAAAAAAAATACTTTGACAAGTTGCAACTTGCAAACAATTGACACTTAGAAAAAAAAATTTATTACATAATGCTATTATAATAATCCGTAGTTTCCTGACGGACTTTCAGAATACCCTGTATACAATCAAAATATAAGTTTGCGCCAGGAAAAAAGTTATTTGCAGGAAAAATTAAAAAGTGCAAAAATACACAAAAATTTCGTGTTCTTTCTTACTTACATTTTCTAATATAACTTTGTAAACATGCAGTTTACAGAGAAAATTATAACTAATTGTTATGAAATTTCCTAGAAGATAGAACTGTTTTGATACTCGCGCGTCCAACTGACAAGAGGATAAGATATTATCCAATTGTACTATAAATGTGGATTTATTACAAAACGAAATACCAAAACCTGATCCAAATCGGTCTGATAGTTTTGGCATGAGACAATTTGTTACTAAATTTCACCACGAAATGTCCTTACTTTTTTGCATAAAGACAATTTTAATTGGCACTGATACTTGAACTCCTTAACTATCATATACAGGGTGGTCCGTAAGTAATGGTCCATAGAGACAAACTAGATTTTTTACTTCAAAATATTACGATTGGAGCCAACATGCCTTAATAAAATGTTGATAACAAAAAAGATACAGGGTGTCAAATTTGGAAATTAAAAATTGAATTTTCGTAATAATTATAATATTTTTGAGTGTATGAACGTGAAAATTTAGGGGTAGATGTTTCTGTATACGTGAAATCATAATTTGTTATCTATTTCGATTTATCTTCTAGAGGACGCCACATACGCCGTGTTTATGACGTAAATACGAGCATAATTTTTTTATCCACAACGTTAACACTTCTTTTTTTTTAAATCTTAAACCAATATTATTTTCGTGAAAAAATGGTATACTTGTCATTAGCTATAGAAATTGTCCGTTTTCAAGAAAAACGCATTTCAACAATCTGCTGCATGTTTCATTACAGGAAATTTTATCGTAGTGTGCGACAATGCCTAGACAGTTTTGACAATTGTGACAGTTAGCAATTATTTCAAATTGTATTTATTAATTTTTGGTAAAAATCAATTAAGTATTTAAAAGAAAATAACGAATTATGCCGAGACATAGGTAATAATTTCTCGAATTTGGAAATGAGAGATATGACGGTTGTTTATTGTCAACAAAATTTCAATGGACGTGCTGCGCAACGTCGAAAGAAGCCAAAGATTGCCGAAGATTTCCAAACAGATTGCAACCTGGTAAACGACTGTTTCAAAATCTATTCAGAAACTTAGGCGAAAGTGGTTCATTTCGTCCTAAACGTGATAATTTAGGTCGACCAAAAATGATTACGCCTGACCAGGAAGACGAAATACTAATTCGCATTGCAGATGATCCACAAACTAGTTCAAGACGATTAGCTGATGCCACGGGAATTAATAAAACATCAATTTTAAAGACATTACATGAAGAAAAATATCATCCATATCATTTTACACCAGTTCAAAATTTATTACCTGTCGATCTTCCTTCAATATATCAATTTGCAAGTGATATTCTTAACAAGCAGAATACTGACTATACATTTGTCAACAGAATATTGTTTACAGATGAAGCGACATTTACTCGATGAGGTATTTTTAATTTAAGAAATAAGCATTGTTGGGAAGTTCAAAATCCTCATGTAACTCGAGAACGGCACTTTCAACATGAATTTAAGATTAATGTTTGGTGTGGGATCATTGGAAACCATTTTCTAGGTCCATATGAGTTGCCAGGAAATTTAAATGGTACAAGTTATTTAAATTTTTTAGAAAATAGCTTTGTTGATCTATTGGATGCGTTACCACTGAATTTGAGGCAAAATATGTGGTTCATGCAAGATGGCGCTCCGCCACATTTTACTCATCAAGTAAGAACATATCTAAACCAACACTTTCCTGAACGTTGGATTGGCCGTGGTAGTATATTTCCTTGGCCGCCACGTAGTCCAGACTTCAACCCTTTAGATTTTGGTGTATGGGGCACAATGAAGGAAATTGTTTATAAAAACACTATAAATACTCGCGTCCAACTTTGGCAAGAAATTAGTAATGCCTCAACTTTTTTTGATCCAATGGTATTATTTAATATTAGACGAT